GCGGGTGGCGGTGGTGGTGGTGGTGGTGGTGGTGGTAGCAGCAGCAGTACAGTCAACGTCTTTGCACGAGTATTGCAAGGCACTGCTGCTCACATTGAATATTGACGGCCGAAACCGAATTGTAGTTGGGGCGGTAATGAACACCAGGGAGAAAAAGCCTAGGGCCTAGGTGTTATACAAGTCTTCCTCTCGCTCTCTGGCTCTCTCTGGTTCTCCTATGTTTGTCTTGCCTGTCTACGTCGGTTCATGTCGGTCGCTATCCTACCGGCTTGCTTCTGCATGTCTTTGCCTGCCTGCCAGTCCGTCCCTCTAACCCGTCTCTCGGTCTGTGTCTCCGAGTTGTTGTGTTTGTCAGCTGTCAACAGCCGTGCCTATGTTTGACTTTTGTTAACTGTCCATTGGTTTGTCGCAACCCTTCCCCTGATTGTCCCTCTCCGTCACTGTTTCCGTCGCAGTGGGTCTTTTACCTACGAGTGGCTGAAACGGATGGGAACATCTTATAGCACTAGCACTTGCATTTAGCATAGCTATGCATAGCTGGAATTGTCACAAGGACTACTGCTTTCGAGCGTGGAGCCCTTGATCATGTATCATCGGTCGTCGACTTAAGTGGCGGTGATCGCCAGGACCCTCCCTGGCCGGCGTTACCGAGATCCAGGCCTGTCTTCGGGTGTTTTGTCCGAGATCATCTTTGGAGCTCGCCGCCCCGGCAGGCACAGTCCGTCCAGCAGGTTATGGAGTTGTTGCAGCAGGGCAACCAACGAAGGACTACAGAGCCAACGGCCCAAGCCTCAAGAACATCTTACACTTATGTTCGTTCTTTAACTATCAGCTGATGCCTGTCTGAGGCGATGAACGTGACCTCCTCGCGGTCTCATGCCGTGTTTCAAGTGCGGGTGGAGCGTCGAGATCCCAAGGCAGAAGGAGGAGGGACAGTTGGCAAACTCTCTATGATAGACCTGGCCGGGTCGGAGAGGGCCTCCCAGACGCACAACAGCGGCCTTCGGTTACTGGAGGGAGCCAACATTAATCGCTCGCTACTGGCACTCGGCAATTGCATCAATGCTTTGGCGTCCGGCTCTGGCTTCGTCCCATTCCGAGATTCGAAGCTCACCAGGCTACTGAAGGATTCTTTAGGTGGAAATTGCCGGACGATGATGATTGCCAACATCTCACCGAGCCACCTGAGCTATGAAGACACTCTGAACACCTTGAAGTACGCCAACCGTGCCAAAAATATCCGAGTGAGTACCTCGCAGAATCTGATCCAGCCAGACGACCACGTCAGAGACTCGTTGGCAACTAACCAGCAGCCAGGAGTGAACTCTGTGCACGGCTAGGGCCACAGGTGGAAGCCCTGCAGCTCCCCCCTAAGCGAAACGTACCTTGCGATTGGCACCTGGATTTTCCAGGGCAGTGCACGAGCCCTTGCGTGTGCTTACGTGTGTCGACGTTGCATACCAATTCCCCAGATGTGGTTTCAGGCAGGTTGCGGCCACTAGAAGTACTCTGCCACTGACGGTTCTGTTTTCCTTTGTTCAATTCGTGCTTCCTTGTTAATACATTACAATTGAACAAAGGGAAAACGAAACCAGGAGCTAGACCGCTATCATTCTATTCTTACAGTTGGAAAGGGTACAGAGATAAAGCACAGTGGATTAACAGAATATGAGTGAAGAATGAACGGAACGGTGCCTTCTGTTCTCTTTAATTTAATTCACTGGCTCCTTTCTCGCTACCGGTTCACGACATGCTAAAGGCCCCGAGTTGACATACCGGCATGTTCCGCCCCCATCATCGAGACTCCCCAGAAGCAAGCAGAGCAAGCAGAGCGAAGATGGTTTCTGGTGATTTGGCTGCCCAGGACAGTACGAGCATGCCATTTCGGACCTTCGACAGGAGGCCCATCTTTGAGTAAGCTCTTACACACAACGCACAGTTTAGCACAGACGGCTTCTTGCGTAAGCTGCACAGAGAATCCCCTGCTGCTGCGAGGCGGCACTTCTGAAAGCCAAGCTGGTGCAGCGGGCGGCAACACAGCAGCTGCAGGACTTGGAGGTTCCTCCGACGAGCTCAGGTCTTTTTCAGGTCTTAGGTTTGGCTTGGGTTAGAGATTTGCAAGCTGCCGTTTTGAGGAGACGAGAAGTCTCCTGCATTTGCAAGCAGCTTCCCCTTTTGGGACCTTGTCTTCTTGGGGTGCTGTAGGCGGAGAAGGAGGTCGGCGGGGAGACCGAGTTAAAGGAGGCCAGTGAGAACTGGAAGCTCGAGATCATCAAGAATCTGGAACCTTGGAGTTTACCTGCATAGACCGCGAGGCTTTTCAGCTTTGGGCTTGAGGAAGGTTTCTTTCGTTTCCCTTCGGGTATGTAGAAGGTCTAGTCACTAGTCCACTTGTCATGGCTTGCTGTGGCGAATCTGCAAAAGAGATCGCGAAGAAGGACTCCCCAAGAGCTCGCTCTGCCTCTTCAAGGCTTCCTACTCGTGCGGGTTCCTTCACAGAGTTTCGTCAGACTGAGGTTGCTGTAGCGATTGGGGCATCAGATAGACGTGCTTGTGATCACGGAGTGCTACATGCAAGCCCCCGCCTCTAGGAAGGGCCAGGCAAGAAAGGCCTGCGCCATCTGGGTCATCTCTGCCCGCAAAAGCGAGCAGAAGCAGCAGCCCAGTGCCACTCCAAGGAGAGCCGGTCCTCATTGCAGCGCTCCCTTCTCGATGTGGAGAAGGCCACGGTTCTTGGTTGGGGCTCTTTCGGGCATTGTGCCTTAAAAGGCCTTACTGTCCTTGAGGTGTCCCAGGGTTTCGGAGAGCTTATCCTGGCATAGGGCTTGACCGTGGGAAGTTAAAGGGCTTTGGTAAGCACGACTCGTGTTTATCTGGCTACAGGTCAAGTTTGGGGTCCTCGGACGTTGGGGGGCTTGGGCAGTGGCTGTTTAAAACGTGGCACCATCGGCCTTTTCTCGCAATAGCCTGCCCATAGGGACAAGGTGATTGAAGGTTCACAGGCCGCATCAGAATCAGAATCTACAGAGCGAGAGGTAAAGTCGATGGTTTGTTTGAGATCAAAGCCTCACTAGAAAAATGAAAAGCATGCTCTCTGAACCCTTGTTCTCACCGCTATGTGAGCTGGACCTGGGCCAGTAGACAATCACGGCACGCTTGTGGCAGCATTGGTGACCCTGTAGCTGACTGAGGCCTTGGTGCAATGGCGTGTGGAGCTTGATCACGCCAAGGAGGTCATCGCTTACTGGGAAGCCCCTGGGTTTGCGATTCATTGGTCATGCTGCAGCGGCATGAAACCTGTGCTCTGCATTGCTCTGCAATGCTTTGCATCTTTGTCAACCGCTTTTTCTGCTTGCCGGCGTGCAAAAACATGGCCGCTAAAGCTTGCGCAAGTCCTCCATTTGCCGAGGATCGCCAGCATGCATCTCGGCAGAGACGTCAGGGATAGACGGTCAGACAGTGGCGAGACAAGTAGTCGAGACGCAACAACAGCGGGCAGGCCGGCACACCTGGTCGACCCCGTTTATCGGCAGAGCCACAGACCCTGGAGGAGTGGAAGGATTTGGTGTCGTGGCAGCGGTGAGTGTTGCGGCACCCGGCAGAATGGCACAGCTGAGCAGTTCTATACTTTCCTCAGAACCCCTGACATCTTGACTATACTATGCAGGTCAGCCAGATTGAAGAGAACATGAACGAAAATGCGGAGACACGGCGCTCTCTTGCGAGAAGACTGCAGCAAAACAAAGAAGCAGGCTGCGGAAGCTCTACCCGAATTCCTGTTGCAGATGCAGACTCTCATGCACATTATTGAATTGTCCGATGTGTAGCAGCAGTGCATGGGGCAGGGGTAACTGCAAAAGGCAAGCGCATCTTCATGGATTCGTGGCTTGTTTCCTGTGCAGGCAAAGAGCTCCAAGCTCAGCTGCCGCGGCGAGTACTGAACGAGGAGTTCACACAATTCCCAGAAGCGGCCCAGTCTAAAAGAAGTAAGCCAGCTTGCATCCCCCAAGCGTGCACGCGAAGTTGCTGCTGGTTTTGGTGCGCATACAGTACCCTGAAGAGCTGCCTGAGAGTGTAGAGCTCCTACCCAGCCTTCGAAGCGAGATTCCAGAGAAGAGAGAATTTCCTGCGAGGACTTACGGGCCTTCCTCGAACTGGTTCAGCGAGTGCAGGCATGCTGGGGCAGATTTCAAGGCTTCGAGGCATCAAGGCTTTAAGATTCATCCCATGTCTTAGAGCTCATTGGGGGCTTCAAAGCCCCCAACAGGGTTGTCGACTTTTTGAGTCGAAGCTGCGCAAGCATTTGGAGGTCCTCGGTGCTGTAACCTTGCCAACCTAAGCCGATGTTCCGCTCGCGTCTCTCTGTGTCTGTGTGTGTGTAAGTAGTTTGCGTAATGGCAAATCTTGTTTGCTTGCGATGGCATCCTTCGAGCAAAAAAGGGCTGGAAATTCCTGTACCTGTGAAGCCTTGAATTATGCCTCAGTACACGAGCCTTCCTGGCGCTACAAAGGCTTGTGACCGATCCAGCATGGAACAAGAACAACAAAAAAGCATCAGCCGCTATGCCCGCTATGCCGAAACAGCGCAGCAAGCGCCTCCGCCCTTCGTTCCCCTCACCAGAATGATGAAAAGACACTGCGTTAGCACACCCGTAGCATCGGGAACAACTCGCGGGCAGCCATTGAAAGGTTTGAGTTCTTGAAGCTTGTGCGGCGAGGTCTGCCCTCAAGGCTGTTCGAAACAATCCAGGAAACTTTTGCTTGCACAAACGCTCCAAATTTCTCTTATTCTTGCGTGCCGACTCAGATGTTTTCGCTTACCCCAGTATTCACGAAAAGACACAAGATTCAAGATGATACAAGCCTTGTTGGTTCTCGCCCAGATCATTTACGCAAGTTGACGCCTTGCTCGCAAGGTTCTCTCATTCTTTTGACATATTTGTCATCAAGAAAGTTGCGACATTTTGAAATCCGTCGTTGGGCAGTATTCACATCTATACCTACAAGCGGTGCAGGAACGGTAAGCGATGTACGCACAGGTCTTGGAATACGAGCGCCTGGAGCTGGACCACTTCTGGGAGATCCACCGTCGACAGCTGGAAGACCGAGATTTGGAGTGACTTGGAACGCGAGTCCGCTTCCGTAAGGACCCCCGACTCAGCACTAATATCCTCGCCTGGCTTGTCCGAGTGCGAGCGCTGAAGTCTAAAAAAATAATCGCATATCGACGGAGGATTCTATTGATTCGGTTTTGAAGAATCCCCATCGTCAGGCCCCTGAGATCCTAACGTATCTGATGTCTATGTACTGTAGTCTTTCGACGTTTCGCTATTATTCAGTTTAGAGTTGCAGAGCTGGACTCCACCTGAAGGTGGCATGGTGTAGCAGCCCCAAGTGAGTGAGCAGTGTTTTGCCTTAATCACCTCCCACGTTTAACCCCCCCCCCTAATATTAAAACTGCCGCCCCCCGGAATTTTGCGGTTTCGGGCCCACAATTGAAAGTTAATTCAAAACATTAGGGGGGGGCCTAGGATTGTATGTGTTTTAATAGAGCCAAGACTACAGTAGTACTAAACCGGAAGGACCAGGGCTGTAGGGTTTTGGGGCTTAGAGCTGACGGCTTAGGGTTTTAGGGCTCAAGGCTTTAATGCGGGGTTAAGGCTTCGTAAGGCTTAAGGCTGTAGGGCTC